GCTGCTTTAAAAGAAGAAAGAGGGCGGCGGGGGGGGGGGTTTGTCGCCGCACCCAGGCTGCCTATTGCGGGTCCTCTGCGAAAGCCCCCTTTTCCTACTCCAACTCTGGGGGGGAGGGGGAAGGGGTGGCTAGGTGAGCTATTGTTACATCATTGGCGGAGAACAAGGGGTTAACATCTTTCGCGCGTCACAGCTAAGAGGCAGAGAAAGCCGGTCGCGGACGGGAGCGGGGGGGGGGGCAACGGGAGGAATTGAGTAGTAGCCATTTCTGCGTCTTGTGGAGGGAAGGGGGGGGGGAAGAAGGGCAGCTTTCCTTTCCCACCCAGCTCAGCATTCGAACTCAGAACCTCGATTCCCCCCCCCCTCTCTTTACAAAATCCCTCCGCCGGCCTCCGATTGGCCGAGACCCTTCCAGTTGAGGATCGGCTGAGTAGTTCGTTGGCAGAAGAAGCGCTCTCAGGTGCCGCTGGTCGCTTTGCAGGCGGGCTCCAAGAGCGCAGGGGCCAACGAGGCCCGGTGGGCTCCGGTTGGGTTTGGCCAAGATCCGTTCAGACGTAAGAGTCCCAGAGCCACACGTGCCCCCCACCCCCCCACCCCTGAACAGGAGCTCTTTTGCAGCCCCGTTTGAAATCCAATTTCCCCGCTCTCGGTGTGCCTGGACGTTGGTTAGGCGCGCAAAGCACATTCTTTCCTCCTGATGGCTATAGTAGGGAGTACCCCTCGTCTCGTATTAAATCCGCAAGACTTCCAGCTTTTTAATGAACCGAGACGGTCCCGTTTTGGGGAGGGGGGGGGAAAGGAGGGGGCGCGTCGCCTCCTCTCCGAAGAAAATCTAACGCCACGGGGCTAAGGTTGGCGGTTCCTTCCCCTCCCTCTCCGCCGCTTCCTTTTGGAGCTCAACTGGTTCAGGGCGTGTGCGGTTGAGTACAATCCCTTGTGGGGGCCTGCTCTCGAGAGAGAATATCGTTTTCCGTTTATAGAAAACTTGACATGAATCATTTTTGTGTGTGTATGTGTATGTATACAGTCGAGGCAAGGTTTCATTAAAAAGAAAGGAAACGAAAAAAAAAAAGAGAGAGAGAGCGAGAACCATTTATTTTCCTTTCGTTTGGGATTGAAACCTCTTGGCCCTGCGTGATAAATGGAAAATAAACAGAAATTCGGAGTCGGAATACGACCTTCCTTGTGTCGCCTACAAACATTCGGGATGCCTCTGGGCTGTTTGCAATACTAACTTTAGGCCAAGCCACCAGCAACCCATTAAAAGAGCCTGTTGCAATAGCAAATAGCCCCCTTCTATTGGCCAGCGCCGGCTCGCAATCTTATTTAGACGCGGGGTGGGGGTGGGGGGGGAAATAACTTCTCTATTTGTGGTTCGTGCCTTCAAAAACGGCTCCTGGCTCCCTTTGCCTTTAACTCGATCGAGAAAGGACCAGTTGGAGGCGAGCGCGGCTTGTTGTGCAACTCGCACCCCATCTTCTTTTATCTCGCTTTTATAGGTTCCACCTGCTGCCGCCGCTGCTGCCGGCTACAAACTCCCCCCCCCCGAGCATCGGGGTGGATTAAAATGGTAACATGGGGGCTATCGAGAACCTCTCCCAGGCTTTAGATCAGGGGTAGTCAACCTTGGCTCTTTTATGACTCGTGGACTTCAATTCCCAGAATTCCTGAGCCAGCTTAGCTGGCTCAGGAATTCTGGGAGTTGAAGTCCACGAGTCATAAAAGAGCCAAGGTTGACTACCCCTGCTTTAGATGATTGGGGGTGGGGGTGGCGGAAGCAGAGTGAGATGGCTTTTCACTTGCACATGAAGGATCCTGCCTCCTCCTCCTCCTCCTCCTCCTCCTCTTTCTTCTACTTCCCTCTCTTCTTCATTTCCTTAAACCTGGTGGATTCGAACCTTAAGTCCTGCTTTGGTAGGAAAACGTTTGCTCAGGTTTGGCTAAGCCACATGGAGTTCTTGCAGAGGTAACTGTCAATGCAGCCTTGCTCCACCTTCCTCCGATCTAGCTCTTCCCCTGCACACACACACACACACACACACACACACACACACACACACACACCTTCCCCGTCACAGGGCGCACTAAGAGGCTGTGGGATAAACCTTACAAGCCTTGCAATATTCAATTTCGCTTTGGTCCCCAAATGCCCCAACTTTCATGTTTCTCCCCATCCTCTGGCCTGTTCTGAAAATGGACCCCCAAAGTAGCTTTCCCAAAATCTGCTGAGATGACCCTCTGCGGCCCTTCTCTGAAATGATATCCGGTTCTTTTCAACGGCACATTGTGGAGTCTTTATTTTAGGATGGACCATATTGAGTCTAGATGAGATCTCTCGGATCTTATGTAGGCAAGTGATTCATCCTTGGCAGCAAGGGCAAAAAAGTTACTTCTGTATTACTTGGTGCTAGCATGGTGTAAGGGTGTTCACCTGTGAAAGCCAGAATACCCCCAAACCCAGCCTTATGAGGAAAAGTTTAGTGTCTTCTTTTTTAGAGGAAAGTTCAGGACTACTGTAGGATTGGTTAACCTAAGTATGAATGTTGGCTGAGTTCTTACACGGTGCTAAGTCACGAAAAAGTTGTGATAGGACAGTACAGTGGTAGGGGAATTCAGCCACTGAATTTTAATCAATGGTTTAAGAGGTTGGTTCCATACAGAATGAGAATCCAGCCAAACGTGGCTTCTGTAATCAGACACGCCTTGATGTGATGTGTGAATCCAAATTGCTGAATCAAAATGGAAGTACAAATGGCAGCTGAGACCAGAAGGATCTTTGTATACCAATTGAGTAACTCAAATCTTAGGCACCTCCCATTGGGACTATGCACTCTCCATAGGGCTGTCCTTGAAAACCACCGGGATGCTGCAGTTGGTCCAAAATGCAGTATACAAGGCATAGCCCTCCTCATTCGTGTAACGCCCGCTATTTTTTGAACTTCACTGGCTCTCTATAAGCTTATGGGTGTAACTCGACATGCTAGTCATCATCCAAAAAGCCTTTCATGGCATATTGTTGAGTTATTTGTACCTGTATTCTGTTATCTCTGCCAATGCCATGATACTCAGCAGAATGGGCAATCTTGAACAGTGATTATATGTGACATCTGGTGGGATTCAAAAGATAGGCCTTCTCTATCACTGGGTGCCTGATGGAATAACAGCCCTCCCCCCCCCCCGCCCCAGCTCCCCAAGATTTGGATGGTTGAGACCCTGTTGATCTGAAATTCTGGTTTCCCTCCAGGCATTGAACCAGAGCATGGGATGAACGTCCAGAAATGAAAGATCTTGAATGGAATATGCAATGGATGGTGGCCTTGGTCGCTCTGTTTTTCCGTTCCAGATGTTTGCTGTATTTTGTTTTTAAGCTTCCAATCAATGTTTTGGCTACTTGGGTGACCATATAAATACAAAAAAGAAAAGAAA